GCCACCACTCTATTCTCAGCATCTATGAGACCAACATTTCTAGACTTCATATGAATTAGAAGGTTTGGCACTTCTCTTTTGTGCTAGCTTATCTCGTTTGGAATAATGACCCTTAGTTCCATCCCTGTTGTCCCAGATAACAGGATTCTACGTGCAAAATTTTCTTTATACATTCACCCTTGGATATATACTTAGATTATTTCTGTCTTTGTGTATTGTAAACAGTACTATAATAAATACACTGGCACAGATGCACTTTTGGCAGACTAATTTAATTATCTTTGGATATATACTGAGTAGTGGGTTTAGCTGATCATATGGCACTTTTATTTTTAATTTTTTAAAGAAGCTCCACACTGTTTCCACAATTGCTGTACTAATTTACATTTTTATCAACCATGTGCATGGGTTTCCTTTTCTTCACACCTTTACCAGTCATTCTAACTGGGGTGAGGTGATAGCTCACAGAAATTTAAATGTTTATTATTTTCATCTACTTGAAAGTCAGAGGGGGAGGTTACAATCTGCATCTGAGTCCAAATTTACTTTCTCTAATAAGGTTGTATTTGGATCAAAACCCATCCTAATGACCTTAACTCAATTCTGCCTAGAAGACAGATTTCTAAATAAGTCAAATTCACAGGTACTGGGGTTAGGACTTCAATATATCTTTTAAAAGAGAACACAAGTTTGTATATGAACATACGTCTTTTGTTCTCTTGAATTTATGCCTAGCAGTGGAATTACTGAGCTCAGGGAACTCTGTGTTTAATTTTTGAGGAAATAGAATATCATCTCCCATAGTGGCTGCACAACTTCACATCCCTACCAGAAATTTACAAGAATTAAATTTTTCCACACGCTCACAAATAACACTTGTTACTTTAATCTTTTTTTTTATCATTCAAGTTTTATTAATAGAAATTGCAAAATTCTACCCACAGGCTTTGTGGATTCATTATCTTATTTTATTTCCCAATTAATCTTGGTTAAAAGGGACATTTTAAAGACAATAATATTCTACAAATGATCAGAGAAGCCAAATAATATATTTTGAAGTTTTATTACGTAGGAATATTTTAATGTTGCATTTTTAAAATGCAAAATAGCAAAATTCAAAACCAAATCACATAGAAATGTCCCACAATTAAAGATTTTATTAGCATTACAGAGCATAAACACTTTCAACTCTTGCGAAATAGGTGGGATAAATCCATTGAATGGATCTGACAGTCGTCCAATAAAAAGAGATAATTATACTCTTATATTTTCCTTTTTCAAATAATCTATACACTAGCTCCTAAAAGTTTTGCCTTTATGCTGCAAATTAATGAAAGGAGAGTAGTAGCACTGAAATTCTGTCATTATCTCATTTAAGTTACTTTAATCTTTTTAAAAAGTGTAACCATCCCGGTATGGTATGGAACTAATAACTAAGACTGAAACTTACTAAGGGTGAAGAACTTAAGTACTCTCACCACTTTAATAAAAAGAAAACTGTGTGAGGTGAGAGATATGATAATTAGTTTAACATTGGTGATTATTTTCCAGCATACATAACTCAAAACACCATGTTATACAAGGATATATATATATATGAATTGTATTTTCATAATATTATAACTGTGCACACTGCTAGAGCTTAGAGTTGAGGCCACTGTTTGGCCAGTGAACTCAGAAGTGTAGGTAGTATGGGGCTGGCGATGTGGTATGGCAGGTAAATCCACCACCTGTAATGCCAGCAACCCATATAAGGTCTGGTTCGATTCCTGGCTGCTCCACTTCCCATTCAGCTCTCTGCTATGGCCTGGGAAAGCAGTTAGAAGATGGCCCAGGGTCCCTGCATCCATGTGGGAGACCCAGAGGAAGCTCCAGGCTCCTGGTTTCGAATTGGTGCACTCTGACCATTGAGGCCAGTTGAGGAGTGAAACAACAGATGGAAGACCTCTCTCTCTCTCTCTCTCTCTTTCTCTCTGCCTCTCCTTCTAATCTGTGTAACTCTGCCTTTCAAATAAATAAATAATTTTCTTTTAAAAAGAAGTGTAGGTAGTGTGCTACATGAGAAGAAAGCTTTTTTTTTTTTTTTTTTTTTGCTAACACCACAAGGATCCCTGACCTGATGAAGGGAGTTGGCTAGTGATTCTTGCTACAAGTATGAAAAAATGTTATAGTTTTGGGGCTGGTATTGTGGCATACTGGATGAAGCTACTGCCTGTGACCCCAGCATCCTGTATGGGAGACAGTTCAAGTTCTAGCTGCTCTACTTCTGATCCAGCACCCAGCAAACATGACTGTGAAAACAGCAGATGATGGCCCAAGTTTTGGGGCCCCTGAACCCATGTGAGAGCCCTGAAGGAAGCCCCTGGCTCCTGGCTTCAGCCTGGCCCAGCCACAGCCATTGCAACCATTTGGGGAGTGAATCAGTGGATGGGAGATTTCTCTCTCTGTCTTCATGGCATCTTTTATACATTTTTTCTTATAACCCTCATGTACACAGACTGCCATGTAAGATATTGACTGGAAAACACTTTTCTCCTCCACTGTGTCCTGAACTCAGCTGGATGAGGGTTGAGCCAGACAATTGCCTTACCCTCTAGGACCCCTAAGTGCTCTTCCCATATTCCAACCAGCTCAGTCACTGACCCTTGAAAAATCTCTACTTCACACAACTGACCAGCAGGAATCAAACAGTTCTCACTTGGTTTGAGTCAAGGATTAAAACCTCCCACTGCTTACACCAGAAATGGTGCTACCTTTTTTCAGTATTTTTTAATACATATTTTTATTTTTTTGAAAGGCAGAGCTACAGAGAGAGAAGAACAGGAAAGAGAGAGGAAGAGAGGGAAAGATAGAGGAAGAGAGGGGAAGAGAGGGGAAGAGAGAGGGAGAGAAAGGGAGAGAGAGAGAGAGAGAGAGAGAGAGAGAGAGTTTTCCATCTGCTGATTCACTCCCCAAACAACTCCAACGGCTGTGGCAGGGCCTGGCCAAAGCCAGGAGCCAGAGCCAGGAGCTTATTCTGTGTCTCCTATGTGGGTACAGGGGCCAAGGACTTGAGCCATCTTCCACTGCTTTCCCTAGTGCATTAAGAGAGCTGGATCAGAAGTAGAACAACCAGAACTCAAACAGCGCTCATATGGGATGCCGGCCTTGCTAGTGACAGCTTTACTCACTGTGACACATTGGACCCATTTATTTTCTTTTTCTTTTTCTTTTTTTTTTACAGGCAGAGTGGACAGTGAGAGAGAGAGAGAAAGACAGAGAGAAAGGTCTTCCTTTGCCGTTGGTTCACCTCCAATGGCCGCCACGGCCAGCACATTGCAGTCGGCGCACCGCGCTGATCCGAAGGCAGGAGCCAGGTACTTATCCTGGTCTCCCATGGGGTGCAGGGCCCAAGTACTTGGGCCATCCTCCACTGCACTCCCTGGCCACAGCAGAGAGCTGGCCTGGAAGAGGGGCAACCGGAACAGAAGCCGGTGCCCCGACCGGGACTAGAACCCGATGTGCCAGCACCACAAGGTGGAGGATTAGCCTAGTGAGCCACGGCGCCAGCTGGCCCCTTTTATTTTCATCAGTGATCAGCAGAGTGCCCTTGGCAGAGTTTTCTCTGCTTGTTCACTACAAGTGTCTATGTGTGTGTGCATGTGTGTGCATACATGTATGTAGACAAATAATTATTTTATGACAGTCATAGAACTTCTTTTAAAAAAATAAGGCTTTATTAATTTACTTATTTTTATTTACTACAGAGAGAGAGAAGAGAGATGTTTCCCATCTGCTGGTTCACTCTCCAGATGCCTGCAACAGCTATTGCTGAACCTGGACAAATCTAGAAGCCCAGAATCCAGTTGGGGTATCTCATTGTGGCAGGGACTCAAGTACCCAAATCATCACCTGCTGCCCCTAGGGTATGCAACAGTAGGAAGCTGGAACTGGCAGTGAAGCCAGGATTCAAACCCAGACTCTCTGGAGTGGAATGAGGATGTCCCAAACAGTGTGCTAACAACTACTCCAAATGTCTGCCCTAAGCATATATTGGAAAATGAACAAATCAAATCAAGATTCCCTATCAGAGCTTCTGCTGGGATCTGTTTACAATTCCTTAAACTAACCTGGTCTCTGCTACCGAAGAAATGTGCAGTCTCATCACATGGCCTTGGCGTTCCGTTAGTACCACATGTGAGAGCTTCACACATGAGGGACGTATGAGCCTCCCTCTCCAGTGGAGGCTCAGTTATGTGGATATTTCCCCTCTTTGCATGTCTCTGCAGAGATCATCTGAGGAGCTCTGGATGTGGAGATAGCAGGCAAGGGACACTACAGGGAGGGACCTGCAGTTACCCAGCAGGATTAGGGATGACTGGAGGTCTGTCTGTGAGGGTGGTGGTGCTGGGTACAAAGCAAACATGGCCAGATGAATAGGGAGGAGCAATAGACACCTGATCTAGAGCAGAGAGCCCACTCCCCCCCACACACATGGGACAGAGGCAGGTGACTCCAGAGCCCAGAGTCCTGTCTCCAGCTCTCAGCCCACAAACACCGGATTGGTGCCCTCCCACCTTTGGAGATTCAAAATAGAAGTGAAAGCTTTTCCAAATCTCTTGAATGTTTTGATTTATCTCAGTTTAAAGAGCTCCAGGATTTACTATTCTTGCATAACTGAACTGTGAGCCCATAAGCCAATGAGAAAACCTCTCCTAGGAAGCAGACACTCTGCAGGCCCTCAGTGGCTACTGGGAGTTGAGTTTTTAACCTCCTTGGATCTGCAGAATTCTCTGCTCTCAAGTTGCTGGGAGATCTGAATAAGGATAGTGGGGACACACTCCCCTACTGGGAGAAAAGGAAAGTTCCATTGCTGTGTATTCCCTTCCTACGACTGCACACCAAAAGATGCATATGTGGATGTGTGTGCATGTGCAGGCAGAAGGGGTTGGGAAAGACACAGCAGAGTGCCTTGTTCAGCGGGCACATGAGGCTCAGAACAAAAATCCACAATTACTAGCTTCCTTTAAGACAATGTGATCCCACAGTGCATTTATTTTTGGAATTAACGTATTCAATTCAAATAAACACGAGGGTGCTAGGTTTCTCTTTGTCTTGGTCCTTGGCTTTGTCCCTGTGGGATACATGGGGCCTGAGAGGACAAACATTCCTCATCTGTATTCAGGAGAGAAGATGACTGATGGCAGGGAAAGGCAATCTGGTGTCAGGAAAATAGGCAAGAGTGAGAGTGGTCGTTTTAGCTGCAGCAAGGGGCCAGCACAGGGAGGGCCAGGTCCCAGGAAAGGCTTTGGCTGGGAGGGGGCCAGGACACGACTCTCCAGCTGGAAGTTTATGGGTGTGGAGGGAAAGGAGGGGTCAGCGTGGGCCCTGGTACAGAACACCAAGCAACAGAGACGGAGCAATGAGACCAGCAAGTGACCTGGTCAATCTGTCAATCAGAATGGACCTCAGCCGAGGGCTCAGGCTGGTGCCTGTAGAACAGCAAGTAGAGCAGACAGGCACCCCCCAGGAGGAGGGCCAGGCCCAGTCTCCAGTGGTTCCTGAGCAACTTTTGCCACTCCCACAGCCGGGCCAGCAGCCAGGAGCCCCTGGACCTCTGCATGCGGGCCGCCACCTTCTCTGCCACCCTTCGGAGACGCTCCTCGGGGCTGGCCCAGTGCAGGGCCTGCAGCACACCGTACTCCTCGTTGGTGTAGTGGGCACCTCCGTTCTCCCTGACCAGGCGCTCCACCAGGCCCAGCAGCTGCTGCACCTGGGCCTCCTGCTCACGGCCGGTGGCTCGGTTGTCAAAGGCGCAGATTCTGCCCCCGCACTCGGCCGCCAGTTCCCGCAGAGCCCGATTCTCTGTGCAGCGCACGTAGTCCTGGAGGCAGCCCCCGGCCAGGTCCTCCTTCCTGGTGAAGACCACGACTGTCCAAGCCATCACGCCCTCCCCGAACATCTCCTTCACCTTCCTCACCGCCTCCTGGTCCTGGGCCGTGTAGCGGCCCAGCTGGGTCACCAGGAGCAGCGCATGGGGCCCTGGGGCCGAGAGCAGGTAGCAGCGACCTCTCTCCAAACCTCCTGGGTCTGTTTTGGGGACTTGGGAGTGGAAAATGTCTGGGGTGTCGATGACGTCCACGTGCCACCTGGCCCGCCTGCAGCTGGCCATGGAGCAGGTTCTGGTGACCGCCGAGCTCTCAAGCCTGGAGAGGAACCTTCTCTGGCCCAGGATGCTGTTCCCCGTGGCGCTCTTCCCGACTCCTGTCCTCCCAACCAAGACGAGCCTCAGCCTGGGCACCTGGCAGGACTGGCTGTCCTCTTCCAAACCTGGGAGAGCAAAGGATTCACAGTCTCATGGCAGTCAACCCAGAGCTCCCTTCAGGACAAAAAACTGTCTTTAGAACAAAAGAGAATGAGATTTGAACGTTCCCCCTTTTAACCAAACCTTTAGTTCAGTCATCTGCTTATAGACGTTGAGCTCTTGGTGGGGGGTGTACCCTGGTTTTCCTTCTGAATTGGGGTTTCCCTCATGCCCCCACTAACACAGTGCACCTGGTAACTGGTGTTTATCACAGTGTATGATTATATCCTCTTTGACCTCTTCTGTGGTGATCACAGCTGGTTTATTCACCTCCCTTTATTTCTTAGGAATGAGGGTGCAGGCTGGTCAGAGGACTGGGCATCTCAGAGGAGGGGTGGGACAGAGATCCAGCTACAGTGCAGACCCCAGACTCTTGCTGTTTTGCCCCAGGCCTTGGATGTCTCTAGGATTTGCCCCTGCTCAATCTCAGGGAAGCCCCTTTTCCCCTATTTCCCTAAGCTGACACCTGGGGTAGGGGCAAGGATGAGTTGCAGAGTTGGTTCCTTACCATAGGCGCTCTCTTCATCTCTCACCATCCTCCGACCTCCCATGCTTCCCTGAAACAGTCCCAAACACAGCTCATTCATTCATTTACTCATCTGTCCAGTTGATGGAGTGCATCAGGCAAAGACCAACCAAGGTGACACCACCGTGACACCGATGGCAGGACCCAGCCTCTGCCTGCAAGCTTCTTAACATCTACATGTATAGTTTTAGGAAGGGGCAGGTGGCGAGACAGAATCAGGTGAATTTTGTCACTACTAATTAATTCTGCTAAAATTCACTGTTTGGACTATGTGATCAAATACTTTGCATGTAGAATCAATAAACTGGTCAAATAACAGATTTTCATTTTGTTGATTTTTTGTTTAGTTTTAATTTCATTTATTTCTGCTCTGATTCTTATTATTTCTTGCCTCCTGCTAATTTTGGGTTTCATTTGTTCTTGCTTATAAACACATAAAACTTTAGTGAAACTAGCAAAATAGACCCTAATAATTTAGTGAGACTAGAAAAAATAAATAAATAAAATCAGAGATAAAAAATTAGACATCTTTCAAAATCGTTACTTAGTATATACTAAGTTAATCTTCTGTATATAAATATAATTGAAAATGAATCATGATGAAGAATGGGATGGGAGAGGAATTGGGAAATGGGATGGTTGTGGGTGGGAGGCAGGTTATTGGTCGGGAAAGCTGCTATAATTCAAAAGTTGTACTTTGGAAATTTATATTTATTAAATAAATGTCAAAAAGAAAAAAATTAAAAATAAAAAAGTAAGACATCACATCACAGCACTACAAAGGATCATAAGAAACTATTAGGAATTCTCAATAAATTAGCTGTAGAAGGACTTTTGCTGGGTATGGTTCATTAATTCAATAATTCAGACATATATAGATCAATGCAACAGAATAGAGACTAGAAATTAATACATGTGAATATGGCCAATTGTAGCTAATTGATTTTTGGCAAGTATTCTAAGAACATCCATTGGAGAAAGAACAGTCTTCTCAACATTGTGTCAAGGCAAAACTGGACAGACACAGATTGAAAAAGAATGAAACTGGATCCCTGCCCTTCACCATTTATAAAAAGCAACTCAAAATGGATCAAGACCTAAGTGTGAAACATGAAACTATGAAATTGCTAGAAGAAAACACAGAGGAAATACTTAAGCATATTGATGGACACATTGATTTCTTGGATAAAACTCCAAAAGTGCAAGCAAAAAGCAAAACTAGACAAAGGGGGATTATTTCAAACACGGAAACCTTTACACAGCCAAGGAAACAATAAATAGACTGAAGAGATATCCAACAGAATGGGAGAGAATGTTTGCAAGCTACTTTTCAGAGAAATGATTAATATCCAAAATATATCAGAAACTCAAAAACCCCCAAAGAAGTAATCCAGTTAAGAAATGAGCAAAGGACCTGAATGCAAGGTTCTCAGATGAAGAGATACAAATGACCAGCAAGTTTGTAAAAAAAAAAAAAATATTTAATGCAATAGCTTCCAGGGATTAAAACCACAATGAAATAGCATCTCACCCGTGTTATAATGTTGTTATTAAGAAAACAGAAAGTAACAATTGCTGGTGAGGATGTGGAGAAAGAGGAAATTTTACATGTTGTTGGTGGAACTATAAATTAGCAGTCACTATGGAAAGCAGTATAGAAATTTCTTTAAAAACTAGAAAAAGAGTAGCTGTATTATCCAATAATCCCTCTTTGGGTATATATCCAAAAGACATAAATACATCATATTAAAGAGATAGCTTCTCCACTATGTTTATTGCAACGCTATTCACAATAGCCAAGATATGGAATCAACCAATGGGCCCATCATCAAATGAAATGATTAAGTTAATGCTGCATATAAACATAATGGAACAATATTAAGGAACAAAAATAATGAAATCGTATTATTGCAGAAAATGGATGACTCTGGAGGGCATGTTAAGTAGTGTGGGCAGACATGGAAAGACAAATACTGCTTGTTCTCCCTCAGTCTGAACACAGAGTGGTGATAACTAGAGGTTGGGAGTGGTTGGGGAAATAGAGGAAGTTTGTATTTAAAAGCAGGGGAAGCTGAGCACTGTTCATTAATTTTGACAAATAAGTTGTACCAATAATAGATGTTAATAATAGGTGAATCTTATCCTGGTTTATTTATTGTGGAAAATATATCAAGTTGTTAAAAATAGGAGAAGTTCCGTATGGAGTATATGGGAACTATTCATACTACTTCACGGTTTTTGTTTTATAAATCTGAAACTATTCTGAAACAAGAAATTGTCAGACTCTCATAATTTACACCAGAACAAAACAAAACAGCTGGTATATTTGTGCTAGTTAGAGCAAGAATTTAGCTGAAGCAAGAAGCCCTTGTCAATGATGAACAGGGGGAGAAGGGAAGGAGAAAGGATTTAGTCCAAAAGTAAGGATGTGTGCATTCCAGAGCCGGTGAAAATGCTTACCACTTCTTCCAAATCTAGTCCGTTTGAAAACCCGAGCATCTTTGTCATCCTGGAAGCATGCAGTTATTCCTTCTAGATCACACTCCCTTCTCCCCTCTCTAGATTGGAGGTGCTCACTCAACCAGTTCCATTTGAGCAACACCTTCAGACACTGACGGCTTCCTGCTGTACTAGTTCCAGCCCCAAGCCCCCAGCCACCTCCCTTCCCTGGATCAGGCTCACCTTTCCCGGAGACGAGTCCTGGACTGGACTCTGAGAAAACCCTTATCTGCTGTGTTCCCTTCAGCGAATGCAGCAGGCTCCTTCCTCCCCCACACACAGAGGAAGTCGCTCAGACTCAGGGCTTAGAGCTCAGGAAGGGCACGATGGTGAGGACTTAAAGAGACAGAAACCCTCACCAGTGAAGGAGTGGCCATGCAAGATTTCCAACACAAACTGCATCCCCTGCTTTGGACTAGGGTGATGTTTTCAGAAGATCCCTATGTCACTGATGTCTTGGTTCTAAAAAGAGCTATAACCTCAGACAGAAAACTTTTTGGGTTTCTGAAGCCTATCTGCTAGCCTTTGGTCACTTATCATACCTCCAGTTGCCCTTTTCATTTCAGATATTTTCCTATAAAATAATCTCCAGAAAGTCTTATTTTCCAGGGAGGAATCCTGACAGGAACCCATGATGGGGCACTTGTCTGGACAATGCCGTCACAGTGGTCCTGCCTGCGAGGACGTCACATGCAGAGTCTCTTCATCCTTAGAGAAAAGGAAGGCTCTTCTGGCTGTTAAACATAGGATGGGGTAGGTGTTTGGCATAGCACTTAAGATGCTGCCTGAGATGCCACCACCCCATATTGAAATGCCTGGGTTCAAGACTTCACCCTGCCTGTGACCGAGCTTCCTGCTAATGTTTGTGCATCACAGAGGCAGCAGATAGTTGCTCAAGTACTAGGGTCCCTGCTAACCACATGATGATGCGTGGATTGAGTTCCAGGCACCTGGCTTCAACCTGGTCCAGCCTCAGTAGCTGCAGCATGAACAAGCAAATAGAAGGTCTCTCTCTCTCTCTCTCTCTCTCTCTCTCTCTTTCTCTCTCTCCCTCCTTCCCTGCATTGAAAATGGTTTGGCAATCATGAACAAAGCCTCCATGACATATGTGTGCAGGTCCTAATGTGGACACAGTCTGCAACTCCATTGGGTACATGGCAAGGAATGTGACTGCTAGTCCTATGGTAAGACTGTGTTTACTTTTATAAAAAAATTGCAAGACTGCTTTCCAAAGTGTCTCAGCCGTTTTACATTCCTATCATTAATTAATGGCAGACCCCACTGAGTCCCATCCTTGACAGGATTTGGTATTGTCATTTTTGTGTAGTTTGGCTATTCTACTGGACGTATGGTGGTATCTTGTTATTGTTTTAATGTGCACTTCCCTAATGACATTTGATATGCTGCATCTTTTCATATACATGTTTGCCATCTATATATCTTCTTTGATGAGATGCCTGTTAAAATCTTTGAATCATATTCTAATTAATATTTTCCCCCAAAGAAACCTTCTTTAAAGGGGTAAAAACTTCGTTAAGTACAACTTTAGGAATATAGTGACTCTTCCCACTATACCCCCTCTCCCACTTCCACACCCATCCTACTCCTCCTTCCTCTCCCATTTCCAGTCCCATTCTATATTAAGATTCATTTTAAATTAACTTTGTGAACAGAAGACCAACTCTTAAACTAAGTAAATACTTCAACAATTTGAAAACACACGCGAACTATTAGAGAACAATTTTTGCAGTTATTTCTCATAATACAACTCACTGAGGACAGAGGTCCTGCATGGGAAGTAAGTTCACAGTGACCCCTGTTGTTAATTTAACAATTAACACTCTTTTTTTTTTAATTTTTTTTTTGACAGGCAGAATGGACAGTGAGAGAGAGAGAGAGAGAGAAAGGTCTTCCTTTTGCCGTTGGTTCACCTCCAATGGTCGCCACGGCCAGCGCGCTGCAGCCGGCGCACCACGCTGATCCGATGGCAGGAGCCAGGTACTTATCCTGGTCTCCCATGGAGTGCAGGGCCCAAGCACTTGGGCCATCCTCCACTGCACTCCCTGGCCACAGCAGAGAGCTGGCCTGGAAGAGGGGCAACCGGAACAGAATCCGGCGCCCCGACCGGGACTAGAACCCAGTGTGCCGGCGCCGCAAGGCGGAGGATTAGCCTAGTGAGCCGCAGCGCCGGCCACAATTAACACTCTTAAGTATGACATCAGTGATCATCTGAAGAAGCTCTTGACATGAGCTTCCAAAGGCTATGGAAGCCTTTTGAATGCCCAGTCTCTGTTAGTATTTAGACAAGGCCATAAGCAAAGCATAAGCTCTCTCCTCCCTTTGGAGAAACGTACATCCTTCTTTGATGGCCACTTTCCACTGAATTCTCACTCACAGAGATCCTTCATGCAGGACATTTTTTGCTACAGTTTCTTGGCTTTCCATGCCTGAAATACTTTCATGGGTTTTTCATCCAGACCAGATGCCTTAAGGGATAATTATGAGGTCAAAGCGCTAATTAAAGTGATTGTCATTCTATGAGTCTGCTGTGTGGACTGCTTCCCATGTTGGATATTCTCTGCTTTTTAATTCTATCTATTATTATTGCCAGAACTTGATCTTATTTATATGATCCCTTTAATACTTAATTCTTTTTTTTTTTTTTGACAGATAGAGTTAGACAGTAAGAGAGAGAGAGAGAGAGAGAGAGACAGAGACAGAGTGAAAGGTCTTCCTTCCGTTGTTTGACACCCCAAATGGCCGTTATGGATGGAGCTACGCCAGGTGCTTCCTCCTGGTCTCCCACACGGGTACAGGTGCCCAAGCACTTGGGCCATCCTCCACTGCCTTCCCGGGCCACAGCAGAGAGCTGGACTGGAAGAGGTGCAGCCGGGACCAGAACCCGGCGCCTATATGGGATGCTGGCGCCGCAGGCAGAGGATTAGCCAAGTGAGCCCCAGCGCCAGCACCTTAACACTTAATTCTTATCACTGGGTTTTTTTATTTATTTTAAAATTTTATTTAAGTTATACAAATTTCATGTGTTTCAAAGATACAGATTTAGCAACATAGTGTTACTTCCCTCCCTCCCTACCTCCCTCCTGCCCAAGCTCCAACCCTTAATCCTCCTCCCTCTTCTATTCTCACTCTTAATTTTACCAAGATTTATTTTCCCTGAACTGGGGTAACTAATAGAGTACCTAAAATGTAATGCATGGGAGTGAAATGGGCACTTTGAGATTCAATGTTTATTTATTTGTCTTTGTCTCTTCTGTTGAGGAACAGTGTTTTTTTCTTCATTTTATTTGTTGAATTCTTTACTTAGTTTATGGTTAACCTCACTAGTATTATTGAGTTTTAAGGGTTATTTGTGTATTTGGGATAGCAGTCCTTTACAAGGTATGTTTTTGTAAACATTTTCCGCTAGTCTGTAGCTTGCCTTGTTATTCTCTTGACAGTGTTTCACAGAACAGAACATTTTAATGAAATTAACTTATCAAGTCTGTCCTTATGGATTGAAACTTTGGTGTTATATTGAAAAAGTATTCCAGAAATTCATGGTCATCTAGATTTTCTTATACATTATGTTTTGGGAGTTTTATAATTCTGCATCATATTTAGGTCTGTGATTCATTCTAAGTCAACTTTAAAGATCTATTTATTTATTTATTTATTTAAAGATTTATTTATTTATTTGTTTCAAAGTCAGAGGAGGGGGGGGAGAGGGAGAGAGAGAGAGAGAGAGAGAGGAGATGGAAATGTTCCATCTACTAGTTCACTCTCCAAATGGTCACAATGGCTGGAGCTGGGCTGATGTGAAGCCAGGAGCTGGAGCTTCTTCTGAGTCTCCTTCATGGTGCAGGGCCCCAGGGCCATCCTCCATTGCTTTCCCAGGTGCATCACGGGGAGCTGAATGAGAAGTGGAGCAGCTACTGCTCAAACCAGTGCCCTTAGGGGATGCTGGCACCTCAGGCAATGTCTGTATATGCTACACCATGTTGCCAGCCCCGGAGTCAATTTTTATGAAGGGAAAAAAGTCTAGGTCTAGATTCATTTTTGTATGTTTATATGTACAGCTTTCCTAGCACGATTTGCTGAAAATATTATCCTTCTTCCTTTATATTGCCTTTGCTATTTTGTCAAAGATCAGTTGACTATATTTGGGTTTGTTTTGGATGCTTTCTTCTATTCCACTGATCTTTTTCTCTGTTCTTTCACCAATATCATAGAGTCTCAGTTACTGTTGGTTAATAGTAAATATTAAAGTGGGATAGAGTCAGCGCTTTAACAATGTTCTCCTTTATTATTGTGTTGCTACTCTGGATCTTCTACTTCTTCATACAAGCTTTTCAAGAACTTTGTCAAATTCCACAAAATAACTTCCTAGGTTTTGTCTGTGAAGGACCCCAAAAGCGGTGCCCTTTTGTGATGACCCCAGAAACACAGACTCCAGACCAGGCGATGCAAAAAGCAAGAGGCAGTTTTATTTCATTTGCACAAATGGGCCCTCTGCTGCCGCAAGCAGCGAGAAAGAGAGGAGCCCCGAACAGTCATCTCACACAGTTTTTAAAGGGAAAAACCACAAGATTAACATACTATAGGGTGGCATAAGTTCATTGGATAGTTCTCAGCAATTGACCTAATATGGCAGTTTGGAAGCGGTAGGGAGGTATAGTCAGTGGAAAAGTATTAGGTCAAAGGGATGACGAGGGTGGGGGGTCGTTTGAGGAAGAGAAGCGGGCTGCTATGTGCCTTACGTGCCTTGCGGTTTTCTTGGTTAAGTTTGAGCAAGCACAGGGGAGGGGGGGGCCCATGTACATAACAGGATGTTTTGTTACCCATGCCTCCAAGTAATATCTAACCATTCCTCTGAGAACCAGTTTACTTCCCTATTTTCCAGGACCAGCACTATCTAGGGGAAAAACTTTACTTAATGTGACCAGGTTACTTAACTACTTGGCCTAACAACCTAATGTAACATATTTGTTAATATCACTGTTAGCTCACTTTTATGGCGGCTTGCAGCCGCTCCCTTCAGTCTGGAATTGCAATGTTTCTATTGATCAAATTGGGAAGAATTGACATTTTGGCAATATTGAGTCTTCCTGTCATAAACATGAAGTATTTCTCCAATCATTTAGTCTTTGATGTACTCCATCAGCATTTTGTAGTTT